CCTCACTTTTGCTGCCAAGGGAATGAAAGTACGTCATGACCGACATGGCCCCAGATCTTCACCCCAAGAAATGCACCTAAAACGTCCTAAACCAGCCAAAAACACCGTAAAACTGGGGGCCCTGTAACGTTCCACACTCTCAGTTTAAGGCTTTTAGGGTCTGAACATCAGGGGCTGAGGGTTTAGGGGTTCAGGGCTGTTGAGTTTACGGGCTTCTGGGTGCAGAGTTTAAAGGTTCAAGTCCTTAGGGGGTCAAGGACCCTTGTTGTTGGCTCAGGTTCGAGCGCCGCTTGAGCTGTTGCGCTTTCGCGTGGACACCAGTAAGAGGCCTACCTGCTGACTTTATGGTCTAAAGAAAGGTTCAGCTTTCATCATAGCAGGATTGATATGGTAGTTTCCCAAAATGAGGGGACCCCAATATAGACGCCAAAATACTATAGTCCTGTAATAGGGACCCCCAAAAGCTACCCCTAATTTTGAGAAACCCCCATATACCCAGCAGGGTGAAGGTTACTCAGTCAGCTGCTCAGGAGCCATCACTTGGAGGTCGAGCTCTCAGCATCTAGATCACGCGAGAAATGCGAGCAGCACAACTTTTGAATGGCTTGGAGAGGTCTTCGATGCTTATTGCTACTGAATGAAATTCAAAAAGCTCAGGCAGCCTCAAGCAAAAGCGAAACTCTTTTAGGATTTGAACTCCAGAAACACTGCATATGTCAGACCAGATTCCACGTAAAGCTGGCCATTCTCCAGAACTTTCGTCACCACCTCGACGAGCGGGCGTGCATGTTCTAAGCCGCATAGGGTTTAGGGTTAAGGGCTAAAGAACTGCAAAGACCAAGGTGGCTACTTGAGATACCCGGGCACCACAGGTGCACTATCTACTCCAGATAGTCAAAACAGGAGTAGCTTGCACTCCGCAGAGAAACAAGCTTGGGTACAAGGGTCCTTGGGTGCTGCGCTCTTTCCAGACACACGCATTTACGTATCAGTCAGTCAAACATATCTCCGGAGAACCCTAAACAAACCCTAAACCCTAAACCCTAAGAGGGGTGAGCAGCATCTCCTAGCTTCAGCACATCGACTTCCCGTGGTTCTTTGCACAGGAGCGCGGTACCTCAAATAGGGTATATCGTCCCCCTGAAGTAGATAGAATATGGGGTATATGGGGATCCTATTATAATCTACCCAAAACCATATTCTATCTACTTAAGGGGGACTGTTTCCTCCTTGAAATGGGGTTTCCAAAATTGAAGTCCATGGAAGGCTCCCATGGAAGGCTCCCATAAGAAGGACCCGAGTATTGGGGAAAAAAGACTGACCCACTTGTTAATCGCCAGCCTCTAAAGGACCCCAGAAGAGTCAATGAGAGGGGGCGGAGGTTACCCAAATTGCCTGACCACCTGGATTGATAGACATCCGTAGCTAACCCCTACTACACAGCACCCCGTGTTCATTGCTCTTTTCCCATGCGATTCGCCATTATCCCGAAACGCCAAACCCTAAGCCCTATACCATAGCCCTTAACCCTAAACCCTAAACCCTAGCCCTTAACCCTAAACCCTAAACCCTGGCACCCAGCCTCTTTAACAGGGGCGGAGCTCACCATGGCAGACAAGAGGTAGAAGAGATGTCTTGTGGTTGGTTTAAGGTTTAGGGTATATAGTCCCCTTAAATAGAAAGAATATGGGGTATATGGGGATCCTGTAATAACATACCCAAAGCTATATTCTATCTACTTAAGGGAGACTATAACCCCTAAACCCTATATTCTATCCATTTCAGGCGGATTATAGGGCTTGGGTTTGGGCTGAAGGTTTAGGGCCTAGGCGGACTAGGGTCTCAAACCCTGAAGGTTCAGGGTTCAGGGCTTAGGTTTAGGGTTTAGGGTTTAGGGTTCAGGGTTTAGGGTTCAGTGCTTAGGTTTTGTGAAACAATACCTTCAGTTTAGGGATTAGGGTTAGGGGTGATGGTTCAGAGCCTCCAGGGCTTAAAGTTAAGGGTTTAGAAGGGTTCGGGATGTAGAGTTGCGTTTGGCGGTATAACGGTTAAGGAATTCGAGGTTTCAGGTTCATTCATAAGGGGTGTAGAGAGTTTGGCTAGGTCTGTTAGAGGGTTAAGGGGCATGTTGCTGCTGCAGTGTAACTACTCTTCTTACTACCACTACGATTACGATTACTCTTCCTAGTATTACTCATCTTACTTACTGTTGTTGTCATTCTAACTGTCATTGTTATTTGTGGTACTCCAGTCGTTCCTAAACCCTAAATCCTAGACCCTAACCCCATAGAGTTCCATAAACGAAAGCTTGGGATCAGGGCAGCTGCTTCATAGTTCGTCCTAGTGGTGCTGAATCGGGAGCGGGGGAGTGAATATAGGTACCATTATAGGGTTTAGGGTTTAGGGTTTGGGGTTTGGGGTTTGGGGTTTAGGGTTTAGGGTTTAGGGGTAGCGGGATTATTATAGGGATCTATTCCCCACTCTCCCTTAAAGAACGTTGTGCTGCGTGTCTCCCGGTCACCGAGACCCAGCGCGGAAAGTTGGCCACCCAGTGCCATCATGCTAATAGTAACAATACCAGTAACCGTAGGAACAACGTGTATAACAATCATAGTAGCAATAGTAATAAGAATCAATACTAATAGTGAGCCAACTAGTAATAGAAGTCCATCTTCGTCCAGAACGAGGTATCTCGCTATGAAGCCCTGATTGGATAGGGTATGTTCCGGTAAAACAATTCTATCTGCTGGTTGTTTACTGTCATTGACCGTCACAGTCTACGCGATCGTATGGTTGATTGGTATTGAGTTGCTTGTTTTAGGGTGTAACGGAAAAGGACTTGTATATACTCGTCACGACTCGCAGCAGCACCTTTCAGCATGCCTGTGGATCCCTTCTTTGCAAAATCTTGGCTCTGGAGGTGAAGATACTTAGATGCGACACGAACCTAGTATAGAGTCATCTCAACATACCCAAGTGAGGGGTTTGCAACAACAAGGGATCTGAGCCGCTTAGTCCAGCCCACAAGGTTACATCCTCATAATAGACCCCCTAAGATGGACCAATACGAAATTCTGACTCAAGCTTGTGGAGCCAAGAAGGCAGAAGTCTCACGTGTTAACATGAGTTGATTGAGGACAAAGCGACTGCACTAACTTTCGGCATCCAACCTACGCTTGATACCACAAAACCTGTAGTTTACTGGGGTTTGGGGTTCATACCTTAGGAAGAATGCGAAAATAGCAGTAGGGTTCAGGTTTTTGCCGTTTATACCTTGAAAAGTATGATATTCTCGGATATTCTTGTTGGTGCTGAAGGGAAAGTGCATCCTCAGTATAATCCCAATACAATCCCGGCATATACCTATTCAAGCCCATACATTCACTTCCCCACTCCCCCTAAGCACCAGTAAACATTAAGGTCGTGAAGGACTAGTTCCACAACAATGCTGACCCCGGGCGTTCAATGCCAAGAGTCCAAATCAGCTGAGGCCAGGGCCGGGTTAAGGGTTAAGGGCTTAGGGTTAAGGGTTTAGGGTCAAGGGTTTAGGGTTTGGGCCTCACGAAATGCAATTCTAGCCCATTTTTTGCGACACAGCCATATTAGTACTATGACTGAAGTTCCTCAAATCTACATGTGATGTGACTGTCCATTCTCTTTTCCATTGATTCTCCACTGTATGCCCACATTACAATAGCTTAAATGCCTTCCCAGACCCCTGCAAGGATCTAAAAATTAGATCCCGTATATAGACCCATTATAACCCCAATATAATCCTTATTTATTTTCCCATATGGTTCTAGGGGATCTAATTTTTAGAGCCCTTTGGGGGTCTGGGTTAGGATCGCACAGCTCACGGCAACTCCCAAGCCCTGCTGACTGATCTAAGGGTCTAACTTTGCTGTAGCCTGAACTCCTCGTATCCCCCTCCCTATAAGGTAGTTTCCCTAAATTACCGTTCCCAAAATGGGGGAAATTTATATAGGGCCCCGTTTTATAATGGGAACTCAAATATAGGATCCCGTATTATAGGGAATTTAGACCAATCCCCTATATAACCAGCCTTTCAGGAGTTTACACTACAGTTCAAGTGACTGGGGGTTCGGGTTCAAGCTAGGGTTGGGGTATAGTGTACAGCTGTACCAGTCTTGCCAACGCAAAGTACTACACAAGTATTACTACTATTACAAGGATAACCAACACCACTATAAATCATAATTATTACTTTTACTATGACTATTCTTATTTCTGATACTGTTAAGACTAGGGGCTTAGGATCTGTAAACGGCTTTGTATCTCTCTCCTTGTGGTAGCGGCGGGGATCCCATCCTCCCTTCTTTAAACTTTAAGCCCACAGTGGGGGGAGGGGGGGAATATAGGGGCTATATAGGGAATCTATTATATTCCAACTACATAGGGTTATATGGCGACTAGGGTTTATGATTTAGTTGGAAGTTCAGAAGTGCTTAGAAGTTGTGTCATAAGCACCCCACCAGCTGCAATTCTAAGCATCTTTCTGGTGACCCCGATCCGGAGCAATAAACCCTAACCGTGAAACCCTCACCCCTCGAACCCGAAGTCCTAAAAACAAGAGTAACCCCACAACCACAAAACCCTCAACCCCTCAGAAGTAGATCCTCAGGTCAGTTGTCAACCCCGCCTCTGCTCCAGTGGGCCCTGCGCAAGGGGACACAGCAATGTGGGAACTGCGGTGGATGGTAGAAATATGGGGCCTTGATAGGGTTCAGGGTTTAGGGCGATAGAGGCCCTAAGAAACCCTAAAGATGTACGGGGACGGCAGGCGCATCATAAGCGTGGGGGTTGCGAAGTCAATGCTTTGAGAATCTTCCAGGTGGCGCCGTAACGTAAGCCCTTTTTGGTGGGTTATCAGGTGCGATCGGGTATATACTAGGTGTGTCTGCATTGCAAGATGATGTTAGGGGTTGCGGGCTATTCTATGGGGTTTAGGGTTGAGGGATCTTCTATAGGCAATATTTCAAGGACCCTAAGTACTAGAAGTCATTTGAAAAACTATCCTGCTTAAGTCCCCGCAATATGTTCCAAATGAAGCCTCAAGACCCTAAACCCTGAACTCTATTCAAGCAGAACATGCTCTTTTGCAAAATGTCCGCAATCAGAAAGAGTCCCAGCCAGTTTTGGACCCGGCTATCTGACATCACAAGCTGAGTAATGTCATCCATGCTAGTGACCATAAGGCACTCTAGGATATTGCCATGATATTCCGAATTTTAACTACCAAGTCACAAAAACCTTGAACATAACATGACCTCCAGCCTCAGGCGCAAATGCCTCAAACCCTAAACTCCAAAACCTGAACCCGAAAATCTAGACCCTGAACCCTAAAACCTTTTCTGGCTCACCGCGCAGGCACCGCATCTTCTGAGCTCGGCCACCCTAAATCAGGAGGAAGCGGGCCGCAGGATTCACCTGCATGGCAACTTTTGAACTTCTCCAGGTGAATATGGCCAATGTTCTCAATCAGGGTTTCCCAAAATCAGGGCTACCTTTTTGAGGGTCCGCTATTATGAACAGGATTCTAGCATTTTCGGGTCCATGTTGGGGTTGCCCTATTTTTTATATTCCCAAATCTCAGAGATAGAACCCCAGGCCCTAAACTCTACGCCCCAGACTGGGCAAGAAGCAGTCTGCGGTTCTTCATGCTGCATTTTTTTGTTAGGTCCTGGAGTGGATCAGATGGCTTACTTGGAGTCGGGGTTCAGAGACTGTGGAGTGTGGAGCAAGCCTGA